GTCACCGAAGTTTATGTCACCATTTTCAAAACAAGGCATGTTACTGAATTAAACATCAGTATGAGATGAAATATGTAATTTTGCGGTATATACATATATGTGAATTACTTGATTAGTAATTAAATGGGTGTATGAATCAATGTATAAATTATTGTGATTTTGGTTAGGGTCGTCGTATTTTCAAGTGAATTAATCTTCAGTTGTGCCACGTTTTTGTATTCTTCGAGTCATGTGAAATGTATTTGTTCATTGTTTCAAGTATAAGTAATAGGCGAGGAAGATATAACATAAATAAGTAAATAAAATTATATAAACAACTATGGATTGATAATAAAGGTAGCAGAACATATTTTTGATCGAGGTTACTTACTTACTTACTTACTTACTTACTTACTTACTTACTTACTTACTTACTTACCTACTTACTTACTTACTTACTTACGCCTGTTACCCCTCGTCGAGGAGCATAGGCCGCTCACCAGCATTCTCCATCCAACTCTGTCCTGAGCCTTCCTTTCCAGTTCTTTCCAGTTACTATTCAGCCTTTTCATATCGGCTTCTATTTCCCGGCGTAGTGTGTTCTTTGGCCTTCCTCTTTTCCGCTTCCCTTCCGGATTCCAAGTTAGGGATTGAGTCGTGATGCACATTGGTGATTTTCTTAATGTATGTCCGATCCACTTCCAACGTCTTTTCCTAATTTCCTCAACAGCTGGAAGCTGGTTTGTCCTCTCCCATAAAACGCTGTTGCTGATAGTATCCGGCCAGTGGATGTTGAGTATTTTGCGTAGACAACTGATTATAAATACTTGTACCTTCCTGATGATGGCCGTAGTAGTTCTCCACGTTTCAGCTCCATACAGTAGGACTGTCTTGACGTTCGTATTAAAGATTCTGACCTTGAAATTGGTTGGGAGTTGTTTTGAGTTCCATATGTTCTTCAATCGTAGAAATACTGCCCTTGCTTTGCCAATCCTCGCCTTTACATCTGCATCCGATCCTCCTTGTTTATCAACGATGCTCCCCAGGTACTTGAATGTTTCCACCTCTTCCAGAGTTTCGCCATCAAGTGTGATTGGGTCGGTGTTCTCCGTGTTGCATTTGAGAATCTTGCTTTTTCCTTTGTGAATGTGGAGGAATATCGATGCGGAGGCTGCTGCTACATTTGCTGTCTTCATCTGCATTTGTTCGTGTGTATGAAAGGGGAAGGCTAGGTCATCTGCGAAGTCCAAATCATCTAATTGATTCTGAGAAGTCCATTGTATCCCGTATTTCCCTTCAGATGTCGAATTCTTCATAATCCAGTCAATCACTAGAAGGAAGAGGAATGGGGAGAGTAGACAGCCTTGTCTGACTCCTGTCCTTACTGGAAATGCATCTGTCAACTGTCCTCCATGCATCACTTTGCACTGTAGTCCATCGTATGAGTTTTGGATAATGTTGACAACCTCTTCAGGAACTCCATAGTGTCGAAGAAGTTTCCATAATGTTCTCCTGTCCACGCTGTCAAACGCCTTCTCATAGTCAATGAAGTTGATGTATAGTGATGAGTTCTACTCAACCGATTGTTCAACGATGATCCGTAGTGTCGTAATCTGGTCTGTGCACGACCTATCCTTACGGAATCCAGCCTGATGATCCCTGAGTTTGGCGTCTACTGCGTCTTTCATCCGATTCAGCAGCACTCTGTTGAAAACTTTTCCTGGTACTGATAGCAAACTGATACCTCTCTAGTTCTCACATTTGCTCAGATCTCCTTTCTTTGGTATCTTGATGAGATATCCTTCTTTCCAGTCCATTGGCACTTGTTCCTCTTCCCAAATCTTCTTGAATAGAAGGTGAAGCACGTTTTCAGTTATTTCAATGTTTGACTTAAGTGCTTCAGCTGGTATATAGTCAGGTCCTGCCGCCTTCCTACTCTTGATTTGTCTGTTGGCCATCTTGACTTCTTCGATCGTTGATGGAGTGACATCTATAGGAAGGTCGATGTGTGTGCTGCTTCCATGTTCGGTGGATTCAATGGGGCTGGTCTATTCAGCAGTTCCTCTAAGTATTCTGCCCATCTTTTCCTCTGTTCTTGAATCTCAGTGATTGCCTTTCCTTCTTCGTCCTTGACTGGTCTCTCTGGTTTGCTATATCTCCCTGCCAATTTCTTCGTTGTATTATACAGTTGTTTCACGTTCCCTTCTCTTGCAGCTTTTTCCGCCGTCGTTGCTAGTCCTCCCATGTATTTCTGCTTGTCGGTTTTAATGCTTTTCTTCACTTGCTTGTTTGCTTCTGCGTAGTCTGTTTGTGCTTTGACTTTCTCTGCTCGTGTTTAGCTGTCGTTAATTGCTAGTTTCTTGTTCTTCCTTTCTTGAATTTTGTCCAGGGTTCCCATAGAGATCCATTATTTGTAATGAAGCTTCTTAGGACCAAGAACCTCCTGACACGTTGAAATTAGTGCTTCTTTTATCCCTTTCCAGTTGTCCTCCAAAGCAGTTTCTTGTTCTTCCAGTAGATCCTGTAGAGCTTGGAACCTGTTGTTGAGAGTTATCTTGAATTCATGGAGCTTGTCAATATCTCGAAGGGAGGCTGTATTGAACCTTTGTAGTGCTGTTTGTCCAGTTGTCCAGTCTTTCTTTAGCTTCAGTCTCATCTTGGCCACAACCAGGTGGTGATCTGAAACTATGTGAGCTCCTCTCCGGGTTCTCACATATTCCATTGATTTTCGGAAGTTTTTGTTGATACAGATGTGATCTATCTGGTTCTCTGTGGTGTGGTCCGGTGAGATCCATGTAGCTTTGTGTATGCGCTTGTGTGGGAATACTGTGCCGCCTATAACCAATTTGTTGAATGCACATAGGTTTGCAAGTCTTTCCCCATTTTCATTTCTCTCTCCTAGTCCATGTTGTCCATTTACATCTTCATATCCTGTGTTGTCCACTCCAACTTTAGCATTTAGATCTCCCATCAGGATGGTCAGGTCCTTTCGTGAGCACTTCTCTATAATTGATTGCAGCCTTTCATAGAACTGATCTTTATCATCGTCGTTGCTATCATTGGTGGGTGCATAACATTGGATAACGTTCATTGTGATCCCTTGCTTCTTTGTTCTGAATGATGCTTTGATTAACCTGGGTCCATAAGATTCCCATCCCACAAGTGCATTTCGTGCTTCTTTGGACAGCATTACAGCAACTCCCTGGGTGTGTGGAGCATTTTCCCCTCCGTGACCGGAGTACAGCAGCATCTCTCCTGTACCTAGACTTTGTTGTCCAGTTTGTGTCCAATGGGTTTCGCTGATTCCGAGTACTGCCAAGTTGTATCTCCTCATTTCCATTGCTATTTGGCTAGTCTTTCCTATCTCCCACATTGTCCGGGCGTTCCATGTACCTATAAAGAGTGTTGCTCTGGTTGTTAGAAGGTGCATTGGTCTCGTGACTTCCAAAGAATTTCGAATTTCATCATGAGACGTCATAATTATTACTTCAACTGAGAGGGCGGAGTTTAAATGTTTTGAATTATTTTTTCTGGTTAGCGTTTTTAAGCGAGTTAGTTTTTCTACGAGATGGGGTCGATAACCCCATGCCCAACCCTCCTCCATTACCCGGGCTTGGGACCGGCATTAACTCTAGAAGAGCTACAGGCGGAGTTTTTTGATCTAGGTAAGAATTATAAAATGTGCAAAATACAGTGAGTTCACTACATATAAATATATTTTATCTGAATACATACTATATTCATCCAGTGCTTGTGTTACTTTTAAACTCTGAAGGAAACCGAGTATATCAATTTTTCTTTTAACGTAAATATTTTATTTCGTGCATAAACTGTTTAGAATAGCTGACAAATTTACAAATGATTAACAAACAGCTTTGTCGAATAAACTGTATAGTTTGAATTGATTTAGCATGCCTGGTAATGATAAATTAGATAAAAAGTAATTTCCGGAATTTTCGGAGTGCATAAATTCATGAACATTTTGTCACTCTGAATTTTTACTTAAATGACCTTTTTTCTTAACTAATTTACTAAAATTGTGAATTCCGTATATAACACTTGCGACATGAATTTTATGACTAATATCATAAATCAATAGGGATTTCCTTCAAAATCTTGTATCTATGATGTAATACATTGAAAATCGAGTATATTGACAAGGCATAAAACCACTAAATTATTCATTATCAGTAGGTTTTACAACATTTCACTGTTCCTAATGTATAGAGTAGAGTTATTTCGCCTGATCGTGGAAGGTTTCCAAATATGCTCTAAATTTGTAGAGCGAAAACTTCAATAAAAACCTAAGTGTTTGTTACAACTATTATCTGGAGAAAATACATCACAATATAAAGATTTCTCCCAATTACTCGGTTATTACCAACTACCCGCTAACAAGACAAACCAAGCTACATCTAGATTAAATTAATCTGTGCTAAATGATATGTGTCACACAATTAACTATGGTTAAAGTCGATCTGAAAATAAAGTTACTACACAACATGTAATTATAGGTAAACAGGTTGTTAATATACTGTTGGATTATTAAGGTCTGTGTGCTGACCAATTACAATTCGGTAATCATAGAATGTAACAACTCAACTAAGAGCTTGACATTATTCCCCAGAGCCACTAGTGTATACTATGAAAACTTAACGCTTCTGTCGTAAAGTCAAGTGTCTAGAACTCAAAGCTAATAATAGTCTTTGGTAATAATTTCACCACACAAATAACAACAATATTGTAGTTTGTAAGCTAAATGCATTCGCAGTATATAATAATGAATGCCAAAAGAAGCTGAACTGCCGACAACCAATTTATATTACTTATATGAACAGACTAAGGCAAATTATAGGTGTTTCAGATATTATCAAGAAACGCAGTTGATACTGACTAGTAGATCATAAATATCAGGGTAAAACATTAGAATTATGCATTTCAATGAAGTGCCTATTCGATTAAACTCAAGACGATGTACTTTTTAGTTGTTAAGATCAAAGTTTAATGTAAAACTAGAATAATCACACATAATCTTATATATATTTTGGTATGGTGCTTTAGGACATATCACAGTACAATAACAAACACATACAATTTACATAAACAAATACATAAATGAACCGGTAAAATGAAGTATTTCTTTTCTATTCCAAAACAAAACAAAAACAAACAAACATGAGGTAGAAATATTAATCAAGACTTCTTTCAGGTGGTACTTTGTTCCATTCCATGAATAAAGAAAGTAATTCAAAAAAGGATTTAAATCAATAATGAAACAAATTTATGTTTACTTTCTTATAAACCAAACCATTTGCACTTCTACGGAATACTAACTTTAAAGGAAATGAATAAGATCTAATTATTTATTTGATAAAAATCAAAGCAAAAGAGAAACAATAAAGAACAATAAAGAACAAAACAATCATTTTTTGCCAATAAAATATGGTCTATATATAATCAAAAGAAAAGAAACTTATCAAACAATAGCAAAGTGTTTTAATGAATTACTTATTTACGTCATATAGTAGTTTATCATTGCTTTATATAATTACATCATCTTTTTTTTCTTTCTGAACGTACATATGAAATAGTTTTACAAATGCAGTGTATAAAAACAAAAAAAAATCATAGGCAAACGGAGAACACATTAAAATATAACCTTGGATACAAATACACACACACACACACAAAAGATTCATATCATTTTGTACAGGTAATATAAAATTTGCAATTAGGATATGTATATTCAAGCATAGTTTTTGTTTTTTCAATCTGACAAATCAATATGAAAGGAACATTTTTTAAAAAAACATTAAATTAGCAGAGTACATGATGGGTATTCAAAATGAGTAAACAGAACAATTCAATCAATGGAATGATAAATCATCAGATTGTAATACACGTTTTTTTTTTACTTCTTTATATTCATAAAAAATAAAATCTGTAAGCTTATTGTTAAGACAAGACATCAAAGCACATAAATTGACAATAATATACATTGAAAATGAAAGCTAATATATTCAAAAGACATATGTATACATTCATAGACATCACAAAGATGATTCGAAAATCTTATTTTATTAATTATACTCTTTTACTTAATCTAAATGGAATTGTAGAATTAAACTACACTGTTCATTCATTGAATGTACTACTTAAAAAAAAAACAAAATTGGTAGACAATAGTAAAAATCAATAATATATTACATATGGAAAAATTTAAAATATACGTTTTATATGAGTTATTTTTTTCTAATTTATTATTATTTTGCATTTGTACTGATGTTCTTATATGCCTCCAAGCTTGAGTTTCTTGTTCTTGTCGTTGTTGATGTTTAAGTTGTAATTGTTTTAAACGATATGTTTTATCAAAAGTTTTATCTAAATCATAATATTCATTAAATCCTGGTGCTTTTAAAATACTTTTTTGAAATGTTGAAAATTTAATATGATATCTTATTTGTGGATATTGATCATTGATCATGATAGTTAAAACTTCTAATAGATTAATGCATAACTAAAATGTAAATGAATAAAAATAAAAATTTTATTTCTTACACTAAGTTTGTTAACGAAATATATATCTCATACTAAATGAATTTAAACTTCACCCCATTGCACAAGCAAGTGGCTATCATGACTCAGTGGCCGAGTGGATAACACGATGGCGTTTGAAGCGAAAGGTACTGGGTTTGAGTCCAAGAGTGAACATCAACTCTGAGATGCAGATACATCCAGCTGACGAGTCTCAAATAGGATGAAACGCGCGTCCTGGATTCCACTACTAGCCACTATCTATCTATATCTTATGCAACTATGATTATTGGATAACCGAAAAAAACGTTAACAATAAAAGTTGAGAGTTTGGATATGACTACTGGAATGTGAAAGTCTTCACATTATATAGGTCATCATGCTTGTAATTGAAATATATCTTTTTGAATACGTTAGCTCTTTGGTTTTTCTATATTGTGTGAGGTATACAGATAATGGGAAAAAATATTTTGTGCGCTTATTTTCATGTTAAGTCAATAAAAAATCATTTATAACAACTCCTTGAATAAGAAATCCTAAAGATATCAGTTTGTAACATGGATCCTTGAGTTAAATTTGGCTATATTGGCCAACTAATCGTCAATACATACTGATTTTATTTACTGAGTTTACTTATTTGAAAATATAGACTATCATTCATTTTTTTTGTAAACTTCACGAATAATGATGAGGAAAGGTAAATAATGTTTCCTTGTACATTTATAATTGAATATTTTCCTATTCAACTAAATTTGGTCAAAATTTCCTGTCACTAAACAATGCTATGGTGAGTTTCATCACTATGTATTTATATATAAATATACTACTGACAAGTGACCTGTTTGGCATCATGTTTAATATTTATTTAAGTTATTACAATGTACGTTGATAAATTTGACATGTTTAATTTTCAATCAACAGTAGGGCCATGAACGTTTTGCACACATTCAGTAATTTCAGTCTTCAGACTACTTCAAACACTAAATATCAATAAGGTCAGCTGAAATAATTTGCTTTCTTAACGTGAAAGAAATCGCTAACTTATAACCCCATAAGATATCAAAACACTTGAGCATTGTATAGTCATAAGTGCTTCCAGTGACCAGTCAGTTGTACGTTTTGCTGTTAGATGAAACTACAACTCGATAATTAGAAAAATGTTACATATCAACTTATAAAATTATCATTCATAGTTATTTTAACAATACATTTTGTTTTAAACATACAGATGTCTTGTTTTCTGTCGGAAAAGATGTATCTAAATTGATTGCCAGTAGATATTCTAAACGCTTTAATAACTTATTGGAATTACTGTTGCTTGAATGATGTTTTGACCAGAGATGTTTATCATCGATTGTTTGATATGCAGATAATATCAACCGACAACTTTCCTGTCCAAATAAATGTGCCAGGAAATTGGTTAGTAGAAATTCAAGTTGAACAATACTTCCGTAAAATTCATATTCTGAAAGTGATTTATCATCCGCCAACAAATCGATTGTTGTAGAATACATTTTCACATCGAAATCAATCAACAGTTTATAACCTATAAGAAATAAAATGATGACATAAAACAGTTGTGGAGATGAACGATGAAGTATATAAAAATCCTAATTACATTGTAGCAAGTTATCAGCTTATAGTTGAGTCATTGAAAAATCTGCAACTAATTCAAAAAGTAATGGATATGTGGATCATGGACCACTTCAATTAAGTTATCGTTAATCAAATGTACAGGCGAAACTTTAGTAACTCACACCAAGCCTTCGTAAAGTATATTACTATATATGTTCAGTTAAAGAATATTTAACTTTATAATTTGATGCAAATAATAATCATCGTTATCAACAAGGAAGATTGTTAAGCATAAACGATATGGTAAGAAATTAAAATTGATTGGTATTAAACTTTTCATTATCTTCATTTATAAATAGCTGTTTTCTTTTTACTGAGTGAAAAACTCAACTCCATTGGGATTTAAGTATCGCAAATGACCTATTCGATTTCTTGTTTCACAACATAATTGAAATAATGTGTTGTCAGATTATCTACATGTATTTGTGCGTTTCTCACCTACGAACCATTACTGTTAGCTTATTTTATATTACAAAATGTTAAAAATCAGTTAACGACATCAATGAATCCTGAATACATTCAGTAAGATAAACACATCTGATTTTAATATGATTACGAGATAGGACTGTTGTAGTGTGGCCTTCTTTTATCCACATCAGTAGTGTATGCTGATGGTTAGACATGGAATGTATTTTGGCAGAAGACCGATAAGGAAAGAACTGAAATGAAGCACAATTGGTACGAAAATGCATGAACAATGAAATTAGAGAAGATGAACTGATATTTACAGAAGGAACAGTGAAGATTAAGATAATTGATTGTTATTTTGCAAATTAACTGTTAGCTGTATGGTTATCAAAATTTAGTGAGATAGTCTGTAATTTGTGCTTAAATACATTCGATTGTCCCCACTCGTGTTCTGTTCACTACACTGTGAATATTTATGAATTAGTGCTAATAGCTGCTTTGTTCATAATGAACGATTCGTTATCAAGACATTTCTATTCAGCGATTCATGTCAGTAATCACTCATTCAACCAATTAAATTCTACTGGAAATTCGATTACTGTGATGTTGAATAAAAATAACAGATGCCTATTAAATAATAGAATTTCCAGCTTTGTCCACTTAGTACATAAACAATAACGTTGTCTGATTGGTATATCCATTGGGTGAATTGGGTCCTCGTGTCGTCCTATTCATTAAGAGTGTTCATCAATTAAATTACCGAACTTTTGAATCGATTAAATTTTTATTTAGACAGCCATAATAACAATAAAGTAGGATAATTTAAGGTCACAAACCTGTTACAAAATATTGATTTTTCAGACTGAATACATTACAGACAACTTGATCATTTGCATAACATGTACAGTGACGATTAAATTTTGGTAGATAAAGACAACCTAAAGATAAATTTGGTTGGTAAATATTGATTGTTTGTATTCGTGTTGGAAAAGTAACATTTTGACTAGTACGATTAGTTAAAGAATAAGCATGCCAAATTTTTATCTCTGTTCCATAACACATTTCATATCGACAACCAACGTGACAATTGCATAGTAAAGAACAATTTCGTGCAAACTGTCCTTCTTCTTGATAATCATGCAAAGATGGCATTCTGACAAAATCTTCAGAAGGTATTTGTAATTTTTTCATCATTGTACAATATACTGGAAAAAAATGGAAAAAAACTTTATTTAAAATTAATATAAGTGTGAAAATCGAAAATTCCTCTGTGTTTTCACTTATTTGTTTTGAAATACTGTTAAACCGATTCAATTACCTAAATAGACCACCGAATTTTTCCGGGGATTATAGGATTTGATCTTTTGTTAGTAGATATGAAATATATACGAAATATAGTTAAACCGACTAATTCAGAGAAAAAAGCATATTTAGACTTCGTAAGAATATGATGTGAGTTCCAAATAAACTTATCCAATCTTTCGTAATGAACTATTTTACTTTCAGTCATGAGTGATATGTAAACGCAAAGCTTAAACACGTTAATACACAATTAAAAACTTATTCGTAAATTATTATGCTGTTAAGTGTAATGTAAAGATATAATCAAACCCGAAAATGCAGGCTCAGAGTTATAGATACAAGGGTAGTTTTTAAAAAAGTTGTTATACCACTAACATTTACATTCTGATGGTTTGCATAAATTTCGTTCATGAAAAGTTTCCCGAACTATTCAGTAAAATAACATAGTCAGTCAAAAGAGTTAAAGTTAAAGGAACTTCTTCGAAGAACTGTAGAAACCTCAAAGTAATCAATCAGGTAGAAAATAAAAAACAATGACTTTTGAAAACTTAAGCTAAAAGATTACATTGGAATCATTAAACAGAAGTAAAATCTGACTGTATCCCTTGGTGTATGCGGCCTCAGAGTGAATAGAAAGATTATCTTGTCACTAAAAGTATATTAATCTTAACATTTTTTAGCCAAATCTAGATGAATATATTGAATATCACTCAATGGTTATTGCAATGATGATTACTTGATAAATGCGAATCTTAGAATATACCAAAGTAGTTTTAGTAGGGGTGGGGATAATCTTAAGTCTCATTCTCAATTTTAACCTTGCATCTATTGACTAACCAAAATGAAGCGGAAATTATTATTCACAATAACGTAATCCTTGATGGAGGACGTGTTTCCTTAGTCATCATTTTCGCTGGCTTACATAAGGAACGTTAAGTATTTTACGACGGAATTATCACTCCATCACGCAACAGAAATGTCAGGTGTACGGCAATCAGTCATGATGGAAGAAAAATTTCAATATATCGAAAGAAATACCTCCAACCAATTTTACAATGGAAAAAATTCCAAAATATCTACGACGGAGTGACTTAAGAAACGAAAATAATGCTGAAATTACTGGCTACGATACACTTAAATGACTTGAACACGTGAATTTAATCCTCACAGTTTTAGTAGTTATGCAGTTTAAAATTTTAAAAATCAATAATAAACAAGTAATTTTTTGAAGATGTGTAAATCACATACATTGTTTTACTCAAAAGCTTAATTTAACTCATACTTAGAAAAGCTGAGCAGAGATTACTTCCTCAAAACATTCTTAATGCTTGTTTAAAATCTTCAGAACTATTCCGTTTCACATCTATTACATATTGCCTGAATATTTTATAGCTGAATTGTTATTGTACAATGGAGTATCAAAATCAGAATCTTTCCAATAACAGAATATGATCTGTCATTGATAAATATGAAATGTTGTAAGCCTGTAACATTAAAAATAAAACTGGTTGCTTGAAGTGAAATATATATCTTAGGTTTCCATTTTCAAAGACGATATTGACTACCTGAAACTCCAAAGTCTTCCTGCTATCATTAACTAAAAATACAATAAAGCTCTTGTTTCAGTTACCGTTTTTGTCATTTTTGAGGCTTAGTAATCATGACAATATGTATTGCCTCACAACATAGTTCTTTTCCAGCCTTAAAATCCCTGTTTACCAGAACAGTTTAATATTATTTTATATAAGCAAAATATCACATCCGTTTTCAGCTTAAAAATTTAAAAGTTTACTTTTCAGCGTTTTGAATATACGAAAATTGAAACGATGGACGGCCAGATAAAATTTGTTTATTAAAAACGAAATTTTTTAGCAATATGTAGTTCTCATTATGAAAGTATACCATTTAAAAAGCTCTGATGAGTAGAAGGTACTTAGCAACTCCTCACCAATGCTCACTTACAAATTATTCAAGTATCGAACTGAAAATATCAAGATCATTTTGGTAGAAATGTTAGCTTTGGACAAATGAGTTTGAGCCGATTAGAGTAAATTTCTAATTTCAGTCAACTAGCGTTAAAGTGAAACAATTATCCACTGTCACATAGTGTCAAATTCCATTAGTTTCAACTTTCAATCAGGACTTCAAGAGATTAGTAGAATTAGTAGAATTCGAAGACATTTTCTTCCATTAACTGATATATTTAGTATGTATTACAGAATAATCGTTGGAACAGTATTGTATGTATCATATTATTCCTGCTCTTGGAAGAAACGTTTATTCTACAAAATACTCTACTATGAATGTACTGAATTTATGATACACAGACTTTTTACAATTTTACCAACTAATAATTGGTTATCAACCTGTATTTATCTTTTAAAAAATCGTTCAAACGATTTTATCTGAAAGTTCAGGTTGAATACTTAGACAAATATGTTATAAGAAATGCTAAATCATAGTAAAAAGTCTAAAAACACAGGTAGGTTCAACTGAAGAGTTCTAAATAGAACGAAACGTGGGTTTAAATTTTCACTGCTGGATATTATTTATCTCTGCTTTAAAAACTTAGCATATCGCATTTTTACTTAACAACTAGTTACCAGTATATAGTTATGAAGGTTGAATTTAGTTAACATAACGAAACGACCTAAGTAAGACAACTGTCGAATACCTAGAAATTCTAGATGACCTATCAACTGAAAAACGCTAGCCACTCTTGAGAGATAAATAAACAAACTTCAACTGGGAAGCAAATAAATATTGGAAAAATATTACTTTCTCCCTGGTTCCTACTAATATGAGTTGGTAAACTTATCGATTCCCTGTAGAATATTAAATTATAATGTACTGAATATGGTGCAAATCAAATTATTTCATGAATTCTTTCTTTCAAAAATAATGACTGTATTATGCACAAGTTCCGACACTGTATTACATAGGAAACAATTTTCCAGATGTCTCACACCTAACAACTGTGTAAGATTCTATGGCATGACAATCAATGTTTAGTCAGTAGTATTTTTTTCAAAATGAACATGATCATGAAGAAGACCACTTAGAAAATCTGATCATTTGATAGTCCTCTGGTTTTAACAATTTAGTCTAATACTATAAGATGGGATGTAATAAACTTGATTTTATGATCATATTTTTGTTGAAAATTAGTAATTTCGTGAAGGGAATAAGAGTAATTATAAACAACAGTATAATACATTGTCAATAGAATTCATAAGTCTGTTATTCCTGAAACATCTACTGAGTAATTTGACTAAATAAACAAACTATCCAACTTTAAAACAGTAATAATTTTTTCATATTTTGGCAAAAGAGCCGAGCTAATGTCACTGTTCGGAGTATCATCTTTTAAAGTAAAACTGAATAATTGTTAATAAGCTACATTAATCACTGCAAAAACGTTTTAGATTCTTTGGGTGAATATCTGTTAAGATGTCAAACGAAGTCCCATATTCTATGCATAAGTCCCTTATTATCGGAAAAAATTTCGCTTTTACTTCCTGTCAGCTATTTTGTTTTGTAATGATAAAACGATCTGAAATGTCCAAAAATACTATCATTTATAATGAAAACGGATGATGATATACTGAATATTAAAAGCTGACTTACATGGCTTATGAGTTAAAGCTGGGTTTTCTGGTTGATGTGTTTTGGGAGTGATTTCTGAAATCATAATAATAATTGTGCAATTTTATTCAGAGTTTAAATAAATCTTTACTGTCAAGATAATTGGTTGATTTACTAAAGTTGATTTACTAAAGAGCTCTTTAGGATTTTTTTTTAACTGGCAATACAGGCTGAGAAATAACTGTTGTCTGTCTATAATTTAATGTACTTGGATACATAGACTTATTATTACTCGTGAATGGACACAAATATAACATAAAGTGAAAATTTTATCCTCCGTTAACTACTTTTCAATAACTCTTTATTCACCCCGAATTCATAATGAAAACTCCGTTGGTATGAATCCAAAGATGAAAACATAAAGTAGTTCACATAAGTATAGTGTAGGCTTGTTTTGTAGGCAAAGATGGATAGTGGCTAGTAGTGGAATCCAGGACGCGCATTTCGTCCTATTTGGGACTCGTCAGCTGGATGTCCCTGCATCTCAGAGTTGATGTTCATTCTGGGACTCGAACTCGCGTCAAACGTCATCGCGTTATCTACTCAGCTACTGAGTCCTGATAGCAACTTGCTGAGTGGATAACGCGATGGCATTTCAAGCAAAAGATACTGGGTTCGAGTCCCAGAGTAAACAGCAACTCTGAGATGCAGGTTCATCCAACTGACGAGTTCCAAATAGAACGAAACGCGCGTCCTGGATTCCACTACTAGCCACTATCCATCTTTGCTTACCATGCTTGTTAATTAAGGCTATGTCGAGGAAATACACACAGTATGCACATATGCCAATAAGAGACTAACCAGTTGCAGTCCTAAACATCAATGAGAAGATTCAAACAAACAATACTAAGTGAATTTAATGATTTGTTTTGTTGAAAAAATTAATAAAATTCAACTGAAAACATTTTTAAAGACAGGTTATCACATAGAATAAGGTGCTATGAGTTTCTCAATACGTTTTGAATAATCTCTGGTTTATGAATGACCTTAAATTAATGTACATTTTCGAATCGGTAGATATTATTTTAGTGCACTGTATGAAGCTGTTTAAACGAATTCCAGGCCAACAAAGCTTCTTTTATTCTGAAATAATCTCATTTAATCAATAGAAAACCAGGTAAGTAAATATGACGTCAAAATGAATGTTTTGTGCACTTACGTTTTACTTCAATTCTGCCATCCTTACTAATTATTCTTAATATTCCTAATAGTGTTGATAATTGTTGAGTGGCTTTTTAAGGATTACATTATTACTTTATGAACAGGTAATTATATCACGTACTTCATCTTAATCCAAACAATTCTTAAATATTTACTGATTGAGCAAATAATTTCAAAACACTGGTGAAGTGAACACGATTCTAAGAGACTGAGTTATTTTTGTCTTATTGTGTCTTTGATTATTTTAACTACGGGAAGAAAAATGGAATTTTACAAAATCCTAGCTATTAATACTCCTTTCATTCATTACTGAATACTTACCAACACAGGGAGGTTGTGTTAAAATTCTACCGAATTCACTGCATCCTGTTAACACATTATTCGATGGATTTAGCTTTGGTCGTGTTACTTCACAGCTGCAACCACCAGCCCATGGACCACTCCATAATCTTCGGTAAGAGTTTAAACAGGCAGAAGGATTTAAGTGACAAAGTCCATTTGAAGTTTGACATTCTGAAACTAGCAGATCATAACTTGTCCTGAAAGATTTCCAAAATGTCAAAATTCTTAATGGTGACCATTTCAATCATCAAGATAAAAAATTATGCTACTTATAAATCTGTCAAATTTCACATAAAAATCATGTATATAAAGCGCTCTGTTTTACCACCCTATAATGTTCATAATTTTTGATACAATGATGGTCAGGCTAAGTTTTGTACGTAATTTACCATTCTATGTGAAATATATATGTCATGCAGTGGCTGTAGTAGCTCGTAACTTAATTCAATACATTCTTGTTCAGTTTTGTGTGATGATCTGGCACCAAATATCGTTTATGTAGAGAAACAACAATATATTTCGATGGTTTGAAATTTTTGCATGGAATATTGGAAAAAGCATGAGTTATTAAAAACCTATGACACAATGAAACTTGATTTCTTGAAACAAGTATTTCGTAAAGTTGTCTTAGGTACATTCAGACAACTGCCTTCTGCGTTCAGCGCTAAAATAAATTATTTTGAAATGTAAATTGAGAACAAATCCGCAAAAGGACTTCTGTAGTTATTTCAATTACAAATATCATGAAAGACTTTGTCCACATGCCGTTTATATTTTATAGCCAACCTTTTTAATATTTTACTGGATTTACTCCAATGATTAACGTAAAGCGAAATGATTTCTTTTGAGCTAAATTCAAAGACTGCCCGAATGTTTCACAAATTTGTCTGTTGATCAAATGCATATTAAGTAGTATTTCGAGTGGTATGTATATGGGAGCTGAGACACGATAAGCTGTGAAATACCAAGTTCTTTTTTGGTACCATTCACAAATTTGAGGTCGATAACTTATTGAATTTCATAACACCGTTTAATGGAACATGAACATAATTTTTTTCAATCTAATAGGTAAATCATTCAGATTGTAAATGATACGTAGGTACCTAATGGTTTATTTTTTCTGACCATATACAAATAAATGCAATATATTGATGGTATGAAAATTGTATTCTACAGATCATATTTTGTAACAAGTAAACTGGAAAGAATTGTTCAATTTACTGGCATAATGATAGTTTTCAAATAGTACGTCTATGTTTGTAATATTCAATACTAAGATCCACCTGAAGATTTTATGCATCAACAATTTTATTACATTTTTGATAATGATAGCTAATAAGATATTAGACGGTTCAATGCAGTTGACAGGGAATCATGGTTCCCAACTAGTTATTACCCGTCTGCAGGGTGTATTAGAAAGTTTGAGGGAACCCATCCTCTCAACACCCAGCACTAACGGAATAGATAGACTTGCAATTGGTCACTCCTCAGTAACCATCATTCGTAGTAGCTAATAATCATGTTTGAAGTCATCCGTGCATATGATCATTATAAAACATATCACTGAAATTTAAAAAATCCACAAGTCAGAAATGACATTTATCTTGAAGAATTTCAATGATATTTATCTATATTGCATACCTACAAACTGGATCATTCTGACATTTAACCCATGCTTGATAGCAATCCATTCTCAGTTCATATGACTGACGAATACATCTAGGTACAAATACGTTCTGCATCTGCTGACAATCCAAATCATTAACTGTACAAGTGCATGAAATGGCTTTATTTACCAGAGAATTGGTTTCCTTGTAAAAACGTTCTAATGAGTTTATGCACTGATTCGGATTTCTACAGGCATTAAACTGCCTATTCATTTGTGCGCATCCATAACGTAGATTTACAAAATGTTGAAGACAAACAGGTTCATGAAGACATTCATAAAATATTGAATAACATTCCATATTATTATCTAGTTCGAATAAAAAGCAGTAAGATTGAGAAATATCAGTGTTTATTTCACCTATGGAAATCTTTAAAAAGTTGATGAGCTTTAAATTACCAGAAAATATTTTACGAATAAAATATGATTGCGACAAAGCGATGAGAAGACGGATTTGATCTGAAAAAATGTGATTTATTTGCGCTATACACCTCGAACAATCTGGTCACATAAATACTTGTCATTTTATGTGAAAATTAATAAAGGTCAATTAAATGAAAGTTCAAGTGAACGAAGTGATAATTGTAGACAAAGACGAGAGAAAATAAACATCACATAGAAAGACAATTTCTAAACGCCTTAAAAGCTGTGTTGATGTTAATTCTGTGCCCCATTTAAATTATGCGCTTAGTTATTGATAAGCTTGGTTCCATTGCACAATGCAATTAAGGGTTATGGATTAAGTGTCAATGTCACATATTCCGATAAACATGGAAAGTAGGAAACCACGCTCATCAATAACAAAGCACATAATTTAAATGGAGCACAGAATTAACATCAACACAGCTTTTAAAGCGTATAGAAATTGTCGAGGACAAATTCTTAGGTTTACAAAAGTCTTGATTAATCCTAAATTCAAAACCCCTATATGGATACAGAAACAATTTGTCATAACCTTGTATTTGCCTTAATAATCCTTAAGTCATTTTATGGCCTAAGGTGATGTGATAATTTCTTATTATTTCCATCTGATGTTAATTTTCTTTCTCATTTGTCTACAATTATCACTTCGTTCACTTGAACTTTAATTTAATTGACCTTTATTAATTTTCATATATAAAATTACTTGACAAGTATATATGTGACCAGATTGTTCGAGATGTATAACGATAATAAATCACATTTCTTAAATCAACTTCGTCTTCTCATTGTTCTATCGAGATTTATAAAAGAAGTAAAATATGATATTTCATTATATTAATCACTTATTTGGAAATGGTTCAATTTTTTTAAGCAGATTTCACTGTTTTTTCTTCAAGTTCAAAATAGAGAACACAGAAGTAAGCAACTTGACAGTTTAATCACTTTTCGACATTTCTGTAAAAATCTTTCGTAAACCTAATTTCCAAGTCATAAACAATTACTTTAAATCATGAAGATATTGTTTAGCACGTTAACTACCGGACTTATAAGACTAATGTTAGCAATGAAACATGTTTATGAAATAATTTTCGAAGGATTTAAGAACAACGTGTTTTGTGATTGATGGTATTCTCATCTATTGTTATTAAAATATCGAGTTCACTCTATTCTAATTTCAAGCCAATGCATTCTACAGTTGGATTGTTTGAAAATACATATCTAAGATACTTGTTGTTAATATTTTATTTCCTCATCAACTAATGTAACAATTCATAATAATAATGAAGACAAAGCTTTTTTTAAAATTCAGTTTTAATATGTAAGTCAGTTTTAATTAACTAGCTAGAATCTCATATCAATTCTAAAACTTTCGATTCGATTTTTCTGTCATTATTGACATTGTTTTCTCTGGAAAACGTTAGAATTAGTTTTTGACGACCTTGTATATTTCAACAAGATGAAATGTTATGTATATATATATATTTGGTTGGCAACTAACCATCAACTGAGAGCAACAATTCAATAAAAAGCCGGAAATGAATCCTTAGGGATAAGAATTATCAACTAAGTGAATTTTCATTTATTGACCTAATATATGTTTGAGACTCTTCATTTCATCATATTAATAAATCAACTGTATTTCTAGAGAGACGACCCTAAGATATAGTTTTGTTGCTAATTAAACATGATTGATCACCTAAATCGCATATATTTTTTACACCGTTTTTTAGTTCTCTATAGTCTTCTGTCAGCTCTCTTCATTCCTCCTTATTTTAATTTTGTTAAGTTCGATTACTCGTGCTCTATTTCACAGTCGAGATTTTTATAGCGTTGAAGAAATCACATTATTATTAGAGCGTTAAATTCGATTTAAATCATACTACTAAAGTCCGTCAAGTGACAGACACACTACTTCTTCATAAGGTACGTAGATGTATGTTCACTTTTATTGTTGTAGATTATGTAGCACTCCAAGAGATGAGTGTTCAATCGAACGTATTATGTAGACAAAGATGTATTTAACTTCTCTCAACTAATATGCATTCCAATAAAAGAGATGTCTGATAGATTGTTTGTCCAATCTAATTACTTTTATTTTCACAGATGCCATTGAAAGGTGTCAATACTTACCCCATGTTTCAGAAACAATTGTTTCTATATCAGTTAATTCGTTTAACGTTTGACCACTAATATTAGAAGTGATAAAGTGTGACTGGTATGATACTGGTAATGTGTCATTTTCTAAATTTTTTGAATTATTTTGAACGGCTGCATGATAGTCTGATGAAACTGGAATAGTTACCAAATTTTTTTCAAAATTCATATTTACAAAAGAATATTCCATTTCGTTTCCATTAACTGAGTTTACCTGTTGGTTTGATGAGATTTCTGTAGAGAAAAGATCAAAAACAAAAGTAGTAACTAAAATGACTGGAATAAGATGTAAATAAAATGTAAAGCTCATGGAAAATGATTGAAAAATTGAAAACCATATGATGTGTGGTATAGAATTGTAATACGCAGCCATAATTAAAATTATACGTAGATGAATTTGAATATGATTGTCTATCTTAAGTTGTCAGTTAAATCTATATATATGTCGGGTAAAAACTATTACAGACATCGCTGTCAATAGGCGAGTATGAACTTTAGATGCATACATGACCAACTTCTAACTTTGCAACATAGCAAAAGACATAACAGCACTGATGAACACTTGTTTACACAAGATACTCCAGGTCTATTGACAGTATACTGTCAAAGATATCTTAAAGAATCGAATTCCAGCAGAAGCCGAAAATAGTGACTCTCAGTGTGGACAGGTTACACTTAATGTAAATTACCAAAATGAATCACAAGGCAAGTTCTAACTCAAAGCAAATGTAAAAAAAACATACCAAATAGCATATTGTTCTAAAATCTGGAGACAGACGTAAAAAAAGAATAAAACTTGGGAACAACTAGTAAGAAGAGTCCAGGGCAGAGGTGGTTGGAGATTACCTATGCTTCACGAAGGGTAATATACGTAAGTATTTAGCCCATATATATCAACTTTGCAAGTTAGTTTTTTTTTAAGTTAACGATTCGAATTTTTTTAGAAATTATTCAACAAAGAAATAAACATAATAAGAGCAACATGATGTAGAGAACTTACCAACACATTTATTATCAATTACAGCCTCTTTATAATCTAAACATCTACGGTACCTGTCTTCGTTTATTTCACTTTTGCAGTCACAATTCATATGTGTTTTGAATTGAAGAAATTTCTTTGATGCTTCTAAACACTGTGATCTAGAAGTATTTAGTTATATGTTAAAAATTGGAAAATCACATTAGAAATTAAATTAATTATCAATGGTTGGTGATTTGTAAGCTCTCAACTTTACTACAAAGTTTACTCATAAAAAATTGTCAAATTAAAATTGACAGCTAGAAATGTAAACAGTTTAAAATAAAGAAAGCAAGAATGACAATATTAATGAAATATGATGAATAGATTGTATTTCATTGCCTTCTTTTAAATTACATACAAGCTAACATGATGTTTAATTAATTTCAAATTGAATTTATAATAAATAATGAATAAATTATGTGTAATGTGAAACGACTATCCAGGGCTTCAAAGTTTTTCATGATGGTCTAGCTTCAATTGGCTCATGAACTCAACTATTAAATTAATGTAGAAGAAATGAAAAATTGGAGTTTTCAAAAGGGAGTTTTGTTTTGTAATTGTTTAAGATAATAGATTTAGAATGTTAAAATAATTCTTCTTTAAAGTATAGAAAGGAAAAGTGAACATGAAAGGTCAACACATTAAATTATACATCCAATTAGTTGAAAAAAGTGGTTAGAATGCTGTCAATACAGTTGAAGATAAACTTCTGTCTTTCTTTCACGAATGAAGGTCATGTAAAGGTTTTTTAATTGCTTATACGAATTTCGCTATTGAAAATGTGGACTGTTTACTGGCAATTTTGAATGAATTCATTAAACGCCTATTGTACTCCATGTCTAGTAAGTGATATGCCAGTGAAATCTTTATGTAGTTTTCTTCTGAAGCCTTAAGGTTTTTGTGATATAATCAATAAAAAGAGTATAAGTTCGTTTATCTGTTCTTCTGACATCCACGTTTTCGCACGTACTTGTGAATAATTATATACCTAATTTTGTTTGCATCACCGAGCATACAACTGTGTATCATAGAAGAAAAATCGAAACACATTGAATTAATCGTATTCTTCAAATATCGTCACTCTTGCTTTGTTTGCATTTGTGATATGAACTAATAGTATTACATTGAAGCAATTTCAGTAGTTGATAAATATGCACAAGTTACATTATGTACAGACGGCAATGCATAAGGATCATGTAACTACGCAAACCTAATTTACATTTGCATTTTATTTGACGTTAGATATTTGCAAGCAATCAGTTTAAACCTATTAATCTAGGATTAGCTCTGGATTATAATAATTAGGGAGATCTGAATGCAATTTATAGATAAATGATACGTGTCGCCAATGCTCACTCTAAATATTTCGGGTCACAAGTGACTTTAAAAAACATCTACATCTAGGGAAAGAGATCTACACAAATCCTTAAATTAGTGACAACGGTTGTCAAATACCCCATTCCTTTTCCTTGATCGAAATCCATCGACTAAGGACTCAGTCGAATTCTTACAATCACTTACTACGATTTTCAGTATTAAAATAAACACAAACCATATGTAAAATATATTTTTTCATGAATTGTATGTTTATTCAGTGACTATTCAATTTCACAGAATGTTAGCATGACATGAAGACTGAACTGCACTTGAAACTTCACTTGTTTTAAATCAGTTTACTAAGAAAATAAATTCATGAAATATACAAAGGAGTCTAAAAAGTATTTTCTAAAGTAACTAGTATTTGGTTTCTAAACAAATCACTTTTAGGTGATAAATAAGTTTATAGAATATCTCCCTAATATTTCTTCATTATCATTTAGTTCCTGAAAAATAATACTTGCTAATAGCAAATGATGATATGGTGAATAAACAGGCAGTGCTGATGCAAGTTCAGTGAAATCAATTCCTCTAATAGAGTGAGACCTTTATCTTGTATTTGATTACCAGTCTTTAGTAAACGAAATCTCAATAGATCAAGAGGCCTTTTCCAATAATTTTAACAAACAACATTTTTACAAAGAGGCAAAGACTGATTCAAGTCAGATAAAAATGTACACCCTATTATTATTTTGGATTTATAATTTTGAACAATTATGGACCTTATACATTCGAATCAGATAAATATATTTTACTACTTTTTGATAAAAAATTATCTTTTCTTAATTACTTTAGTATTCTTCGATGTAGGACGCATTTCTTATTCTGCATACCATAATATTATTTTCTTCCTAATTATTTATTTAATTAAAATCCAATTGCTGTTGTAAGACGATGTTCTACATAACAAAATGATGACTGGGTGGTACACTACTAAAATGAAACAATGCAAAGGATATTAAAGCATAATTAACTTTAAATAAACTCACTTCAACTTATCGCAAGTCCTAACGGTACATAAAGCACGAAATTTATTAAGTGCAATAGCACATGCAGGCAATTTAGTGCAATTTTCAAGCAAATCTAAACAACTTGTATTTTCTTTACTTTTGTTCAAATGCTGATCAACTAATTCAATATTAGATGATCCCATACTAGATAGCGTATTCATAGTGATGGGAGATGCTGTAGTCATTGGTATAGAAAATACAAAGGGCTCGGCCGATAGTGATGTTGTATTTAGACGCTTCATATTTGTATTCATATTATTTGTTGATTGAGTTGGTTTACTTTCTGGTTTTACTATAAGGTAATTAAAATTAGTTAAACAGTTAGCCAGTTTGTGACGATTTCGAAAATTATGTTCAATCACATGAAAAAAATCGTTCAAGAGACATAAATGTCTTATTAAAAGTGATAGAATGTTTAGTGTATTTGCAACCCATTCATTGAAATATATGTAATTATCATGATATTTAACATTAGATGTTTTTGTGAAAAATAATTTTCAGCGTGTAATAAAAGAATATTGTGCATCAATACAATGGTTTCCTGGAAGTACGGTAATACATTACTAAATCTGATGAATAAACTAATTATTCTGTCTAAAACTTGGTTTGAATATTTTATTTTTTTAGGATGTTAACATGCAAACTGAAATTTTTCTCTACCAAAAAAAAACAATTACTAACAGTCCAGCTTCACCTGCTGTGTTTTTCCCTCAAAGTTTTATCGATGTGTAATACATATGTTCTATAATATATTTTAGAGATTTGTAAGCAGAAGAATAGTTTTGAATAGATTTATTGGCTTAAATGTAAGCTTGTTTGGCGGATTTCAAGTATTTATTTGCAAAGTATTTTCTTCAATAGCTCAGGGTGGAAATAAAGAGACTAATTTATAAGGAAAATCATCTAAGTAGGCAATTTTATAATTAATTAATTTCCTTCATAAATCTGAATAAAGAAAGAACAATAGATGCATTAGATCTTGAAGTGATTTTTATTCATTCGGTGTACGTCAGCTATTTACAACATTATTCCATTTGAACTTCAAAAAATTCAAAATATTGCTTCATTGTCTCTGATGGGTGAATGACTTACATTATACATGGCTGTATCATACCGGTCATCTCTCGAAAGTAGTCTTTGGAAGGCATATAATGAATGTCAGAATAAGAGGTTTCTCGGAGATCAGTAAACGTTGCTGATATCACGAGTAAACCTGTATCACATCAACACTAAAGGCTGGGATGCATTGGGAAGCTATTTAGTTCTAATATATATCACCACAATCTTGCACATCCCCAAACCCGTCCTGGAGTTGAAGTTAACCATGAAATACATCTGTTGTATGCTCAGTGGTCTGAAGTTTAGGCACTGACTATGTTATGATTGCACAATATAATGTAAATAATAACGAAAATAATGATGATAATAATAACAATAATATCATTATTATTAGGAATCAGAGGATTTAGCAAGGAATTATCGGTTTAGCATGACGTTTATAATTTGACAACTGTACTTTTCTGAATACAGTGATCACCCACCGTCACAGAGTATACGGAAGGTAGAACCTTTGGATCTACTAGTTAGACCTTAACTTCAACATCGCATTCATTTACAAGCTAATATGTTAATCTATTCACATTCTAAGTTGATTTGCTTTCACCTAAACAGAACGATCTAACAACCTGTTATGAGTTAGACATGCACATGGTATACGTTAAAAGGTGGTGAGTGTCATTTTTTATGTTTTCATTTTATGTTTAAACTCAGAGTAATTTTAGGGGAAAATATTTGAACACCATACTCTAGGTTGCAACAGTTTGACCTTAAGATTATTATTCCGAGAATCAATAAACTAGCAATGGATAACGGGTCAATGAACTTTTTAATAGCATATTCAAGCAAGCGGTAATAACAACAAATCAATTCAGACAATGAAATATGTTTAGATTTGTAATGAAGTATTCAAAACTTTAATATTTAAAGCCATATCAATGAATAATATCTTCTTAAGATAGATATTCCTCAAGTTTTACTTTAAAATATAGTACATATTTTTGTAGATATGAAAACTATTGAAACAATCAAAAGAATTTGAGGATCGGTAATGAAATGAAATGGATTATTCAAGAGAATGTATAGTGCTCATACTCTTCAATCTATACATATGTGTCTGTGTGTAATTACTAATGATTGGTTACGTCACATTTAACCATTAGTCTAATTCGCAAGACAGTTTAAGAGTTTTCAAAAAACTTCAAAACTAAACGTTCCCATCATCCTATTATTTGTTAGTAAAAGCCTAAAATTGAATAATGTATGGAAAATAACAAATATTCAAAATCATCTATATGCTGAATTGCTATTACTTGTAAAAATCAATATAGAAACTGACAAAATGTTGCTTAGCGACCGCTGCATACAACTACCGTTAATTGGCTATTAATAGAGTTTACAACCAACCAATTATACTTGTATTTATTACGACCGAACAGGTTATATACTTATACATTGAGCTAGTTATGAATCGATGAAAAAAAAAATCGAATTTGTTAAATTTCTTTCGTCGATTTCAAATAATGTCAACTAAATAACCAATTCATCTAATAATGTAAAATTTATTGTCATGTAATTTAACAAGTCTCAGTGTTTACTCCATTTTAAATGATTTCAAGAGCGACTGAGCATTAAAGTATAGAGTAGAAGTTGTCTAATCATTGGTGATCCGACTTTTTTTGTCAAAATGTATACTACGTTGAGGGTTTAACGTTCCTTGATAAAGATAAATGTCAGAAGTAAAGTTCATGAGTTCATAAGTTACCAGCTAACTCAAATTGTCTAAAGAGTTGGTGTTTTATCCTTCAAGTATTTATTACCACTTTAAATAAAATTTAATTATAAAATCGAACCTAGTCTAAGGGTGTCCAATCGTGAAAATAATTTCAGAATGTGAGAAATGAGTATATAAAACATGAATTACGTCGCTTCATTAACAACCAACTTGAATTTTACTGGTCCAATCTAGTGTGAAAATTACGAACATATTGCCATGTATACTCTTGAATTTAATTAATATACTAAACGAAGTTATCTTATTAAAAATATTCTTACTACATAAAACAATAACCAAGCAAGGAATTCAAATTAAAAACTGATTATGAATTAAAGGTAACGACGAATCACATCTTAAGTGGCTTATTTTGTTACGCCCCCCTCTCCCAAATAAATATAAAAATCATATGGTAAATGTATTTGTAATACGCTTGTATATGACGATTTCAGTTATTATATAATAAATAAATACTCACATTCCTTTTTAGGTTCATGTCGAAAATTTCCAGAAGTATGTAATTCACGAAGAAATATTGGCGGTTCAGCCAAACATGGATGATTGTTTAGATTTTTTCTAAGTAGATTACATTTAGTTAAGTCATCAATCGAACGACTAGATCGACTATCACATATACAATATTTTAATCCCGGTCGTCCGAGATTCATTGTTTTAAGAGCTGATTGACATTCTCGTAAATATTTACGCTGACATCCCATTAAACTGCGCTCTAAAAAGAATAATTAAAATGTTAAGAATTAAGATTTTAATCACAATGAATGGTGACTTTTCTTCTAAATAAATCAGTTTACGAAAAGTATCCCTTATTTGGTGGAATAGATTTAGACTTTAATCTTGGCATGTTGCAACTGAGATATAACTTTTGTTAAACTGAAACCTTTCGTTTCCAGTTGTCGTTATTATGTGGACAACATTTATGGCATTTGTTGATGAGTATGAGAAACCAGCTAAAGATACTATACATCCATTAGGAATAAATAGAAAACGCTGTTGATTCATGCTGTTTCATAAGATTTTAAGAATTATTATTGAAAAAAGGTACTTGGTAATGTCTATGGAAAAGGAAACACTCAATTTTTTATTTTTAATCCCAATCGTAACGTTTAAAACAGGCGGAAGACTTCATTTATCCAATGTTAATGGTGTGGCATAAGGTAACATGAACCTATATACTTTTCATTTATCAAATAAGATCAAACCACATCAAATAACAAATTGTTTCAAGTTTTATTTCAAACTTTTGACAAATCATCTTATTTTTACATTACCAACTATGAATCCACTTTTATCGTTGAAGGAATAATGAGGTCACATTTGACACAAAAATTCTTGTATTGTTATACCGCATGCGGATAAAGTAATTACGGATGTCTACTAAAGAATAGTACAGTAATCAAGATGATGTCATTTGCTTGCCTGATTATATCTATTAACTTATCGGTGAAGCTAAATCCGCACTAGATAGCACTAATTACAGCAACAGTAAAATACCGGCATTTTACATCATTTTATCGTATTAACATCAGCAATCATCTATCTGTCTACCATATAGATGATCATGATAATTTATGATACTGCAAAAATAAAGAGTGAAGACTAGTATTCTTCTATAAACTGTGTATAGGAAGTTCTATATATATTCACCCATTTTTCGATTATTAATTACTTTATGTTCTCAGTTCTGTTATAAGTTTATGACATATATTGCTTTATTTTAAAAGATATTAGGAATACTTTAAGATGATCACTTTACGTTTGTATTCGTTTGATGTTCATGACCAGTTAGAAGAACTTATCTTACTCGTTATCAAATCTAATAGTAAAAGACCTAAAAAATTTCTATTTTATTATTCAATAGTAATGAGTTAAGTGATAAACCACTGATTATAGTCTTACAATCATCAAACTATTAAACGTGACAATTTTATAAAACCGGTTTTAGTCCGAAATCAATAAAATTGCTTCAGATGATCCTTTTTAGTAAAACCTTTCATGTTCAAAATACCATTAGTTTTATTCAACTCTAATATATTTGTTAGCGGTCAATAACCAAATCGTTTATTGCTGATAAATATAGATAAATTGAAAAAAGCATAAATCACAAGTTAACTTTATACACTACCTACCATCAGTCCAATCTCCACAAAATGTTTTGAAAATTTCTACATCCACTTTACATATTCCACTAAAGGATTCACAGTTCTGCAATGTTTCCAAACAATCTATTCTGATTTCTTGTTTTTCAATAACTTCATCAACAGATTGTAGTATGTTTGTTCTACTACTTTCACTTACTACATTTTTCATTTCATTACCTACATTATGTTTTGATGATTTATGTGGAACTACAGGTATTGGAGTTGTTGAAGTTGATGAAGGCGGTGAAGGAAAGATAACACTGGCTCGAATATCCCAGTCAGTTTGTGTTAAATAATATGGTAAATGAATTAAACTGATAAAATATAAATATGAGTTGAAGAAGCTGCACATGTTTGTCGTGTTGTCAATTTTTCTAGTTAATTGAAACTTGAAATTCAAAGGATGACTAGAGATTTTCTTTTAAAGGATTTATAATTGAATTCAAATTGTAATTCTTTAAAAAGAAGAAGAAAAGGTATGGATAACTTTAGAATTTGTCGTTTCAAACGTCAATACATCAGGAGTTATTAAGTAAGAATAAAAAAGTATAAAATAATAATAATAACTAAGAAGCTGAATAACGTTTCTAAAATATTTTATGGAAAAACAACATTACGAACTTCGAAAAACCTAAGTCAACTTTGTAAAACTAGGTATCCATTATTTTATAGTTACTATTTATAATGTAGTCTATTTTACTTATGTTGACAGATATAAGTAGTAGAGCCAATCGAAAGCGGAATGCTTGTCAGAAGAGGACTTAGAGGAATGATTTGAAGAGAACAGGAAGTGAAATAGAGAGCGATCTTTATGGCAACAACAACTGAAAGAAGATATGCATATATTTTTTAATGTACGTTTTCATATTTTACAAAAGTACTCTGTAATTTTGGATTGAACAGTTAATTCTTTCTCCTCATCTGAGTTTTCGTTCACTATAATAGTACATATATTTTCGTTGGAGGTAATGTATAAAATCGACATTCGCTTATTTTGGCTGAAGACGTTACACTTTATTTCTAACAATACATTTTAAAAGAATCAATCTTTCCTTCATTAGGATGTATTTTTAAGTGTATCACTTTCTGACTCATACTAAACATTTCGATAAATCAATCCTTTAGTACTGCATATTATGTGGATATTTTATGACAATACTTGCAACGATTCGTAGCTAATAAAATGGAGTTTGTGAATTCCATGTAAGTATGAATGCTGTAAGCAATTTATTCGTTCTTGTAAACCGAATAATTATCACTGTGGTGATTTGTGGGGAATGTAGTATATTCAAGGTTGAATTCATGAATCATTCTAAACTAGAAAAATATTAAAAACCTGAAAGCACTGGACTTCCGTTTCGTTCTATCATGGGGCTCCCCAGACGTGCCCATCCACGATCACACACGTGGGAGTCGAACCCAGAGCCTTCGGTCTCGCGCGCATACGCCTAAATTGTAGACCACTAAGGTGGTGTCAAAAATTTGCTTAAGATCATATACCGACTGAATTTAGACGTTAACACCGTTGGATGTCCTAAGTTCGAGTCCAGCCTACAGGTTCATGTATGCGCACTAATGAGGAGCCCCATGCTAGGACAAAATGGTCATCCAGCGCCTTCAGTTTTTCAATGGTATTCTAAAATTGATCCGTTCATGATATCAATCTAATCTCAACAATCCCCACAATCCTATACTGATAACTTATACTATCCCTAAATCTAACACAAATATTTTGAATTTCTAAATATACTATCTGTTAAGAAAACTACTGTACAAAATGGCTAAAAGTAAAAAACAATGTTCATCTTTTAGTAACGTATATGTAAGCCTTAAAATAAACTCTGTAAATTTGAATGATTATCTATCTGAGTAACCAAGATGTTTAATACAATTAATTCAATTTCTAACTGAAAACCTGAAAACAAGTGTCATTTGAATTCCCGACACCATTAAAAAACAACACACAGTCTATTAATAAAATCCTTGCAAACTCTGGAGATCGATTGAAATTGGTTGGTAAAAATTTAAACGATATAAGTAATATTATTTGTTAATACCACTGATGTATTACAAACAAGCTACCCATCTCACAAACATATAAAATGAAGATAAGATTATGTATATCCGAAATAATCAATACTTATAGATTAACAACCAAGTAGTAGTTGTGAGAACCAATAATGTAATGAGAAGACGAAGATTATCAGAACTATGTGATGATATACTAGCGCAATACATTTCGAACAATCTGATCACACATATACTTGTTAAGAACATTTATATATAAAAATAGAAGGTCAACTAGACTGGAAATGGGGGGAGTAAGAGTCATAAGATTGATCTTAACTCGGCTTTTGTTGTGTTGTTTAAAAGTGTAAAAGGGCGTATACTGAGGTTTATTGAAGCCTTAGGCATAGGAAAATTCAAACCCCCCTTGTGTATTCAAAAACAGTTTGTTTTCTCCTTAAACCTATCCTGGTAATATATGCTTATTATCCAGAGTGATTAGGTGTCGAATTGTTTTCACATTATTTTTATCATTATTACTCTTACTCCCCCCATCTCCAGTCCAGTTGACCTTCTATTTTTATAAATAAATGTTTTTATCAAGTATATGTGTGATCAGATTGTTCGAAATGTATTGCGCTAATATATCATCACATAGTTCTGATAATCTTCGTCTTCTCCTTACATCATCGAAATTTATCAAAGGTACTAATTGCTTTAAAGAACCAATAATGTTTAGTAAACAAGTCCTACGTAAAATTTAGTGATTTAATTAAAACTGTTTTTTCAATTTTTAACGAATATTATTCATATTGTAATATCTACATTAAAATAATTCCATAATTTTTCTGATTTTTCTATTGGTGTTTGAATACCTGAAAATATTTATCGTTTTCGATTGTTACCGTGACACAGAATTGATTGAGCTGAACTTTTGTATTATTCCATAATCTAATCTATTGTTTACTAAGCATCAGCTGAATACCTAATAAACTTTCTATATGAGAAACAATAAATTTTACTAGGAAATACGTTATTTCATTCATTTGATTGACAGAAAATAATATGTACTATATTTGTTCAGTGAACTCAAAGTTCCGGTATGTACATTCCCAAGATTTTTATTGTTTTTATATCAGCGTTTTAAATCCATACAACAACAGATCACATTGAGATTACAATACGTAATAATGGCTTCATATTCAAGAAGAAGCCGTTTAAAATAGCTTCATACTATTTTTCTATTAATTCAGTTTATTACAGCTTAGCATGTAACAAAAGCTAAAGTCTACAAAAATATATTCTCATGTTTTTTTCAAATAAAAAAAGTCATTTAATGGCTTTTTAATGTTAGTTCATTATATTCAAATATTTTACCGCTTTTGATCTAAACTTGTCACAAATTAATTATATATGTGACATTTGTTATGCTATATTTGTTTTGTTGTAATATTGTTTTGGTGGGATATCTATTCACGATGTTTACAACTGAGTGATTACTGGGTATTCACCAATGAGGTCTGTTTGGACTTTTAAGTATTCAACAGATTATATTGATCAAGTAGGACTTTTCCTGGTAGTCTACGTGACTTAAGATAGTGTACAATAATTTAGAGATGTAAGTCTAGGCCCAAATAGCCTAACGGTAATACCTTGGGCTAAGTCGATGACTGACACAGGATTCAATCATCTAAGCAGTACCAGTTACCTTAAGCCTACAGTTACACTTTGCTGATAATTAATAATTAGCAAACAACTTGGGCGCAGATTATCCCATCAACCACCTTATGCGACTTTTCTTATCTAACAATCAGTTCAGATAAGAAGTTTTTATTTAATTTACAAAAAACAATAGTATCGAACAGATTTTAAAAATTATACTTGACTATACGTTCAGTAAACAGTTCCATTTTCTTGACACTAACTTTATGTGAATATATGTTAACGAACATCATGATCAGAAAACAAACATCTGTGTCAATGAGATTATATCCTTTTATGTAAATCAAGGAAATATACATAGAAACAGTTAATAGCTAATCAGAATAAGCTGTTACCTATATTTCCGGTTGGACAGTAAGAATACTTTTTGCAAGAATATTAGCTTTAATTCCTTTCTATTTCACATTATGATTAAAAGTAATTAGGATTTGTATATTTGTTTGTTTAATTCTTCTTGTGCGTTCTGTAGGCCAACTGTTGAAACTATAATGATGATATGCGTGATAGGAATTCATTTTTCTGAAAACATTATTATTATTATTATTATTATTATTATTATTACCATGTGCATTTTAAGACTACAGAATTTTTAATGTAAAAAAGGCAAATAAATAATGTGTGAAGTTGTGTGACTGAGACTTATTAAAATCATTAACCGTTATAAGTATATTCTTATTGTAGATTTCATATAGATGTCCTCTCTCCTTCTCTCTCCTTCTCTCTCCTCTCTCTCTCTTTATTTATTTACTGAGCATGTATTAAGTAGTCTTGAGTAGGGGAGATTATTTTTAACTGAATTGATCTACAATATACTGTAATGATATTTGACTATTACGATATTATAAGTATAGATAATATCAATTAACTTCTTGACATGAATTGAATAAATCGTAATAAATTGATGCTCAATATATGGAACACCAGTTATAAACATTTTGGACTTTATTCATATTATTATTTATTATAGAGGGAAATACACGTTCTTTAATGTAGTTGTATAAAAAAAGAAAAACTTTAAAATTACCTGATAAAACTAGAAGAGCAGTTTGTTAAAACTGCTCCGTAACTTCGTGATTCTGAGGGAAGAGATCCATTGAAAGTGATTATTATAATGCATAGATTAAGAATGAAACAGTATCTTAACTAGGTAACGCTTGTGAAAAGATTATTTATTCCGAACTAAAAGTTTCTCATATTCCACACTGAATACATACATATAATAAGAATGTTGAATGGTTGAATATTCAACCTATGATTTTCTTGTTACCTTCTCAAATATTATTTAATGTAAACTATCAGAAAACAGAATTCCATATGATGATCTTCTGTGCATATTTTGATGTAGTCATCATCAATTATGTGGTATATTGACTTGAAAGATTCTTTAGAAGAGCTCATACATTTAAAAATTAGAAGTTGGTAATCAAAAAAATTTTACTTTAGATTCTAGTTGTAAAGTGATTGATTATCATATTTTGGAAGAGTAAAACAATATATCAACACTCGATAGTTAATTGGTAAATATCCTATTTGATTTTTATGTTGGGCGAACGCACTCGTGGAGAAAATAAAGTTGTTCTCGAGTGGAAGCTTGCCTTTTGGCGAAATTCTCCCATTTTCGAACAACGAGAAGCGTACTACGCTCGCCCACCTGAGCTACAAATCTTCTCCACCACCCTATTTGATTATTTACCATTAATTTGGCTAAAATCGTCATTTAAATAAAATAAGTCTATTGAGTACTGCTATACTGAACAGATTAAAAATTATGAAATAAATAAATTACATTTACAAAGCTGATTGAGTGATTACGACCACTCCATTTATTGTTGCTTTACTAATAGCAACAAATTTCACTCATCTGGATTAAACAATACAATAAAATGTCGTTTATACTAACGTCCAATTCACTTTTTAAAAATAATGTACGGTATGTTACTCTACGATAGAATGTAAAAGACACAATTTGATGAATCAATATCAATTTCTACAAACTCATCAATATTCCTAACTCTAAATGTTCTTAAATACTTATGAAATATTTATGGATTGGTTCCTTGGAGAAAATCAAAAATAATTTATAGTATTTGCAATAGCCTGACAAAGCATATTAGATAATAAAAAATAAAAGGTGTTTATATGATGCGTACAACGATGTAAAGGATGTTGAACTACTGGAAAATACAAAGCTTCCATTATAATAGGCTTAATGTGATAAGATGGATGTTTTTTTCGTATTGTAAGTCAATTTACATAGGATGATTAATAGACCACTGATATCAAGTTTTCATTGAAAACATTTATTTGATGTATAGAGTTTGTTATTGACCTTCCTGACATGGTAGAATAATGTTAATCCATAAACGTTTCAATTAAAATTGTACATCAAACAATTCTGGAAACTATAATCTTTTTCTTCCACTTTATTTTAATTGTTGCAAAAATAAGTGATGATATGGGTGCTTCACTCATAACTCTTGTTAGTATAATTTGATGTACTATTTAGCTAATTGTAATATTGTAGAAAACGAATCACTTTTTTCTTCCACTTTGCTCAGCTATTTTCCATCCTAATGGATGGATGGATAGAAAACGAATCACTTCGTAAAATCTGAGAACCATACAGTAAATATTTAACTTGCAAAATAACAATCAAGTGTCTGAAACTTGACTGTTCATTCATTTCCACACTAACCATTCTTTGTTCACGTTCTCTTTTCTTCGGACTTCTTAACCTACTGCCCATAGGCATCTTATTTTCGATTGATGACACATACTACTTATATCTGTCAACATCAGTAGCACACACCACACTACCAGGGTCAAAATTAAAAAGAGTCCATCTGCCAATCATTGTTATTTATATTCTAGGCTGTTAGTTATTATTGTAAGGGAATTAGATGACTCTGATGTATAGTTTAGATGATGGTATAAATAATTTGAAAGTTCAGCCTTTTATGTACACCGCTGAAAAAAACTTTTCGCAGGAAAAAACAGCCGCCCGGTACTTTATTATTTCCAACGGTTGTCTTACTCGAGCGAACTCATAATGCAAAATAATAAAATTAAACATTCAAATAAATTGTAATTGATTATAAGTGCAATAAAGTCAACTATGAATATAATTATAATTACCTTACAAAACGGACACTTACACACAAACAAATCAGATCTACCGGAATCATGAACACACATTTGAAAAACCTTAATAAATGGAATTTATTATCTTTTTTTAAATGTGGGAACTCTCTCTTCAAAATTGAAACGTATATCTTTACGTTGCTATACTTTCACAATAAATTAATGAAAACAAATATCAAAATGTTATCCTCAAAATATGACAAGTGGAAACAGATTGCTTTATTTTTAGAACTACCTATACACATAAGTCAGTGAAGCATGTTATTTTCACCTCCTCAGATTTCTCTTATTATACTTGGTATGTTTTGAATACTAACGAATTCCAAATGTCAATAGTCTAAACGTCACTATCACATTTTCGTCCACATCATTTAGTTATTATAATTTCGATATGTAGTTTCCTTCAGAATATATTATTTATTTACCTATTTATCAAATGGATTCGATCGAAGCTTGATAATAAAGTGAATTTTGAAAATGAACATAGCTTTGAATGAATCACTTTTGATATTATACTGTCGATTCTTTTGTGAGCATTTTAAAAATAAACATTGTTTCACTAGAAGGCTAGTTGGGTTCCAAGCGTTGTATATTCTTTATTTGTATATATATAATTATCACCTATTCATTGTTATTATTTAGATTATTTCTTATATTTTTTCTCAAATGTTAATAGTAAGAAATATAGCATAAATATAAGAGATAGTGAATTCGTTCAAAGCTGCTTGATTATTCATATATGTATCAATCATATTCTTCATGGTATTATCTCTACCAGGTAAATACAAATTGCAAGCATCATGAAAGATCAACACAAAGGAAATAATTTTTCCCAACTCATGAGTGCATCTTAACATCCTTAACTTACAAATGTTTATTAATATTATATCCACATTTTAGTATCCTTTAATTAGTCACAGTTATAGTTAACAAAAGTCAGACATTAATAAATTCACTGATAAACAGGAACAATTATCATAATAAAACATTTCCAAATTTCAAGTAAGGAAGTAATAATGATAGTTTGTCTAATTCTCTTGATAAATCAAGAAGTCAACACTTCACACAGCAAAAGAATGCTAAGTGCTTCTAGCCTACCAAACTCAATAATTTCTTCTACCTGAAAACAATTTAGTCAAACTTCAAATTTGGATATTGTTTAACAATAGTAAATACAATGAAGGCGTATATTCATAAGAAAAAAAGCAAGTGCTCCGTTCAAAGTGTTAATAAGGTAACTCATTTCAAGCACGACAAAGATATTGTTTTGAAAGTAATTCAACGAAAGTATAATATCCTCTAAAAATTTTAAAGTGAAATCTACTTAATAACTAACAAGTTTAACATTAAGCTGAACTAAGTCTCAAATACACTAAATTAAGAGAAATAGGATATGAACAATGATTAAAAGTGAAATCCTTCAACTAATAAACTATAACTGATCTTCATATTATTAAATATAATGAAATTTAAAATCTTCGGAGAAAAAAGTTTTGTGTACTATGAATTATAAAAATATATTTCATGACATAAATATTTTATGCATAGTAAATTTCGTTGATTGGTTAAAGTTAGACATTAACACCATTGGATGACGGCTCAGTGGTCTAGTGGTTAAGCGCTCACACACGAGACTGATAGGTCCTGGGTTCAAATCTCGTGAGGAGAGATCATGGATGCGCACTGCTAAGGAGTCCCACAATAGGATGAAACGGCCATCCAGTGCTTCCAGTTTTTCCATGGTGGTCTAACTTCAATTGACTCATGATTTCAACTATATTAATCGCAAATTGTTTGTATTCCTTACACACAAACCCTTCCCCAAAAAATGACAATTGAAAAAATATATATTCGCCTCACATTCCTGTTGGCCGAAAGAATTCATTTCCTTATCACCATTAGGTGTAACTTATGTAGTAATTACTTTCGATATCCTAATCACATTTATGTCTTTAAAAAAATATTTAATTAATTCTGCTAAAGAAAATTAATATAAAATAGTAAAACACTATAATCCCAGTTTATATTTCATAGTCCATTTCTAGTCATATAGAAAGTTTTCAAATTTATGTAAAAGCATATAACACAAGATGAAGGGAACTAGATAGAGGTGGACCATGAAAAAATGGATAAGGAATCTTATTTGTAAGTGATTTTGTCGTAGCATTTCTATATATTCATTTATTCTCAATGCTGACTAAATTAGAATCATAATTCAAACAATTAGACATCTCATTCTAATAAATAATGGATAAGATATTTGAAAAGATATAGTGATTTATGTAGAGTTATTTAATAAAATTATTAACAAAAGTAATCTATCAAACATTACATTAATTAGATATAATTCATAAGGTACAATGCTTTCTACATCAAGTAAAAATGATAAGGATAGATCTTTTGTTGACTATTTTGACCTTCCAACTGAATAATAGGACTAAATATTTCAGTATAGTAACTACTAAAATTCAAATATAGAAAACGATTCCACTTACTTAAATTTTGATGACAAATAATAATAATATACATCACTACATATTATGACAATAGTTCGCTGTTTAAGAGTCTCAGTTATTATATCATTAAAGTTATTTGATAATCCACTTTTGTTAAAAGAAACAGTTTCATGTGTTTATTTATTGAATAATAGTAAAATAATGTTTATTGTATACATCTGCTTATTATATATGTAGGAACACGTAAAATTTCCAGCATTCAATCACAGTATAGATACATATTGATGTTATTCATTCACATGACTAGGAATGAGGAAATATTTAAATAGAATTGTCTCAAATATGATTGGTCGATTCCTTTGTTTTTGTTTGGTTGTGAAAAATTTGTATCCTTTCGACTATTATGTTGACGATTTTGTCTTTTGGGAAACCTGTCTGTGAGTTGAATTGCTAATATATATATATGATTATATTTCGGTAAAACAATAGCATGGATTTCACTCTTGAAGTATTCAAATGTTGCTTCATTTATATTACTGAAATCGTTCTTCACATTTATCAAATAGGAATCAAAAATCTAAGTAGATTTTGTATTTTATTTACAAATACTGAATAGGGTATCAACACTATTTTCGTTTTATCACTAAAAATGAATCAGTTTACTGAACATTAAGGTATATCTTTCAAAAGCAAATCATAAAATGTCATATAGAAAGTCAATTATTGTTTTAATCAATAATTACTAATTGCTAGATTTTTACAGTTTTAAAACTAATTTTGTATATTCTGTTGAAAAGTAGCTAATTAAGGTTTGATTCACATGGATAATTACTGATTGAAATAAGATTAGTTGATAAATAAGCTTGATTTTAATAATATGTAAAATTTCCTTGTGATATTGAAATTTAATTTGGTTTGAATGGTAATGACAAAATGGGTGATGATGATAATGATGATGATGGTGATGATGATGGTGGTGATAATGATGAATAAAATGCAATGCAACTAAAATCAATATTGAGACAATGTTAGAAATGTAAAATATCAAGAAAGTTTGCTTTTAACCAAAATTAAATTTTTCATTAAGGAATGTCACAAAATGTAGACAAGTATAATAGTTTATATCTTTACGTTGGACTGCAGAGTAACTCTTCTAACAATTCGATGAATTGCCTTTTATGATATTAAATACGACTGCAACCATCACATATTTTCTTGAATTATGAGTAACATATTATAACCAATTCATTACATCTGAAATGAAGATAAAATGAAATCATTTGTAAAATGATAAAATTAAGTTAACAAGGAAGTTACAAACCCCAAGTGTACTGACTATAACATTTTGATTTTTAGATTATACTATTCATAATTCGAAAAGAGGTTTCCAATTTGACAGTGCTTATTTAAAAATCAAACATGAACATGAAAGACTATTCATTTATTAAGATCATAATGTAAGATAGATGCATGAATATAATAGGAAAATGAGTCATATCATATTTCTATTAGTTTTTATTTTCTCACTCAAATATTTACGCTTATGTAAATGGCTATTAAATTTATCTAGACGGCAGAACTCCAATGACATGATAATAAACAATTTGGTGACCACGTAATCTTTTCTTAATTTTTAAAACGACTATGATGATTGAAACAGTTTTGTTGCAATCAACCCCAAAAAGGGAACTTTTATATTACATAGGTTTTGTTTTTGTTTAAAGTAATGGAACTTTAAAATTCATAATTTCGTAGTTATATTTGATAATTTGAGTGTAACTTGTTTTTTGGACTGTTTCGAATGCTCGTGTTCAGTATATTTACAAATGAAATAAGTGATGAGTAATCGATGGGAAAGTAAAAATAAAGATCAAACACTAATGTTAACAATGCATAAATATTCTCAGTTGTTCATCATAAGTGAAAGTCAACATTTTGAAACTCTCTGAAAAGAACTCAAGGCCTAGTAAATAGACAATTCTGATGAGTAATGTACCTAAATGTTAGGGTTTATTGAGATATTTGGTAGCAAACATGTTTTCATAAAGTCATTTCAACATTATACATAATCGGGAACGTTTTTATTATATATTTAATAACATTATCCTGGAAGGCTACGTATACAGTAACTCAAAATCTGCCACGAAAGAAAAATTTGTTCCAGAATACATGAAACCGTACCAAGACACATCATGGTCAAACAACATTAGTAAACGACTTTAATCCGTTTGAAATTATCTCATAAATTTTAAGCTAAAGAAATTCCTTACCCAATAGTACATTATAAAATACTTAATGCATATAGATATAGATAACAACTATTCATTACCGACTTTTTTAGATTATTCAAACAGAGGTGTTTTTTCTATTTTTGATGTTGATGACGTCCGCCTTAACTCATTTTGTATAATATAGAATCTTTAGCAATATCCATTCCAATATTATGTGTAGATAATATAATGTTACACAAAGCTACAGACTTTCTTCACAAATAACAGTAAGATATGAAAACCGATAACCTACAATTATTCGTACGCTTTTATGTTATCAACTCTCGTTGTATCATATTTATACACTTGATGTCTACGTACATCCTGCCTCGTAGAATACTTAAAACGATGTTCATGTTTATTGATAATAATTTGCCAAACATCATTTAAATTCACTAGCATTCAGAAAATTTATATCTGTTTGCAATTAAAATGTAGCTTCATGTCGCTAATGTTTCCTTCATGCTGTGTATTTATAAATAGTAATAGAGTTCATAGCTTTGACTGTCCCTGAATGTATGTGCTTAATGTTGAAGACATATATCTAGCGTAGCCTTTCATGTTAGTCTGTTGAGTTCAGTGACAGTAGCTAACTTCGTTACAAAAACTCTTTGTCGACACAAAACGTTAAACAAGTAGCTTTACTTCGCTGCATGGCTCATATCACAGAATTTAAGTGAAATATAGATTTATGCACAATAGAGTTGTTATTCTTACTAAAAAAAGTTCGGAAACAGAAATGTTCCGCTCTTCCTTGACAATCCCGTTTGCTAGACACCAGTAGTTCTCTTTTCTTTTTGAGAGAGAACGTGAAATACCTTACTTGTTGATTTTACTTTTGATTTCGGTCCTTAAAGTGATGCTAATTTTAATGCTCACAATAAAGAATACAAATTTAAACTAAAGTTGAAATGCCCTTAGTAGGCAATAATTTAATATAAGAATGATACATAGCAATTAGATAACACAGATAAAATAACAACAAGAACGTTACTGATGCTAAATACGAAAATGTTAAAGTTTAGTTCAGATATAGAGTAATTTAGACAACCAGGCAGACAATCAGTTATATATAGACAGCTTACGTAAATATAGGTACACATTAATCATTTTACTGAGGAAAAATCAAATAATTCACTTTATAATCACATATATGCAGACCTTCTACATATAACATGACGTTTTTATTAATCATAGCTGTACATATCAGTTCACATCCGTTCGAAACACTTTTTATTCTCTCAGAAGCACTAAAGATTTACACACCTTATTAGTACTGTACCGTTTACATATCTTTAAAATAATTTTTAATCAGTTAGACGTCTAAATCTCCCCACCGACAAACAGATGATACATTAAAACGAATAAGTTATCAAGGAAACCATGCATCAATCTAATTTAAACTACCATTGAAAACCTGGAGGCGCTTGATGGTCGTTCCTTTCAACTATGGAACTTCTAAGCAGTGCTCATCCATCACAACACACGCGCTAATCAAACCCAAGACCTTCAATCTCGTCGAACGCCTAATGTGCAGACGGCATCCAACGGTGTTATTGTTTGACTTCAATCGGTTCAACATACTGCACGTCAGTCTTCCATTATATTCATTAGGCAGCTACTTCATATCCTCCATTGTTGAAACCCTCTGGCCACGGCCTCTTACTAGAACACTGAAATCAGCTCTCAAAGATAATCACCTGTGGGCACATGATTATTTTCAGTACTGAGTTGTAGAACTTGTTAAATTTTATTGAAATCAAGACACGATCAAGGTTCAACCACTATTGTACACCTGAAAGCATTGAACGGCTGTTTCGTCCTAGTGTGGAACTCCTCAGTAATATGCCTTGGTTCATGATTTCAATGCAATTCAACAATCTCTACAACCCTACACTGAAGACGATTATTTATTGTTGACAGTTTTTCATAGAATTATAGCCATACATTTTCACAATATAATACTAATTCATTGTTTAAACCTTTGTATTGCTAGATTTTATTCATTAATCGATTGAATAGATTATCTTTAAGAAACGTTTACAGCATACATAGTGTTATAAATTTTTGAAATTTACCCATCTTCTCTATAGGTGTACATTAGTGTTTAGCACATGCATACTATCAAACATCTGTGTGAATATAAAATAAATAATTTAGGAATTTTTTCATTTGTTTGTTTTTCTTATCAGCTGACTATTTAGTTTATTTAAATGTTTGATCAAAATGATTTATTCACATGAATTGGCAATCATGAAAAGGTTTACACATTAGAAAAAAAAGTATTGATAACTTAGCTTGGTACAATTCAAAAGTGGAGAAGATATATAGTTCAGGTGGATGATTTTTATGATGAAAGTTCCACGACCAAACCACCCAGTTCAAAGAACAAAACTCTATCACAATTCAAAAGTGTTGATAAATTTTGATTTTGCACATCATTCAGAAGATAACGGTTAATTGTATGTGTTCAAAGAATTATTTTTTTCTTTTTAGTAATATTCAAGATGTTTTTTATCATTAGTAGTTTAATGATACTTTTATGATTCATCAAGAACAACACTATATATAATGTATAGTTTGTTATCGAAATAAATAAATGTGGTTATGCTTACTGAATATTAAATGAATTGAGAAACATATAACTAGTTTCATTCTAAAGCAAATAATGCTTTATTATTTAGAATAAATGATAAAAGTAATATACGAATAGTTAAGCACAATCGTAAATGACTTTTTTCCTAATTCATATTACTCATCATTCATTATGGAGTTTATTTAAATCTACATTTATCAACAAACACAAACACTAAGTGGTAGGATTGTTTAATAGTTTTCTGTAACATTTGCATCTGAAGACACACGTTTTGAAAGTATATCTTATCATTAAATTATAACCTTGAAAAAATTATGGAATGTCGTATGATCTATAGTACTACTTTTTACTTATTGTAGGATAGTTGGTATACTTATTATCTGTATATCCTAACTCACAATCAGTTCTATATATAAGGTAGACAAAAGATAGAAAAGTAAGTAAAAGGTGAAT